CAAGTAAATTTCGATTATGAAGTATTCAGTTATTTGTGAAGGCTCCATGAATTAAAATATTGTGTTTCCTGTTTTTTGGGCTCAAGAAAACTTCAACAGTTAAAACTTCAGATTTTTTTTTCATTTTATATATAACATATTAGTATCATATGAAAGATCACGAAAATTCATGAATTTTGATATATATTTTAAAAAAATTGGAATACAAATAAAAAGTTTATAAGAGTTTTGAAAAAATTGAGGTTTAAGCACACACACTAGTAAAAAAATGGCTTATAGTGACAGTAAATTAGTGTCACTAAACGATTTACTGACACACTGAAAGTGTCACAGAAAAGCGGGGCAAGTGACACAAAATTTAGTGTCACTGATTGCTAAACAGATTAGTGTCACAAAATTATGACAATAAAATATCACATAAAATTATGACGTTATAATATCATAACTTTTTTTGACACTCTGGTATCATAAAGATATATGATACATTAGTATCATAAGAATATATATATATATATATATACATTAATATATTTATATATATATATTTATATTTATATATGTAATATAATTTAATACTAATAAATAACCAAAATTCAAAGATTTTTATTTATATCTCAATTTTTCACATAAATGTGAATGTACCTTAAAGATACTACATAATTCATGGCACACACCCCGAAACAACAACTAATATACAAGAACAAAACGCTAACAAATCTAACTTTTACACTACACTTCCTAGGGCCTTCACATATATTCTTTTGCAGACTTGCACAGAATGAAACATTTGCTTCAATCTTTGCCAACTCCAACAGAATCACACATAACCTGAAACATACATAAAACAACATAGATAGAATAAAAATTGTTAAGGTATTGAATATGCCAAAATTGGTCTAAATAAGCATACTATGATTATTTTTCACACGTGAAAGTGAGAAAAGATATGTCAAAAATATAGACTTAATGAGTAGAGCAAGAACTAAGGATTTTGACATCACATATTTCAAGGCAAACCTTGCTCCAGGGTCAATGATTTCCTTTGCTTCAATCTTTTATTCGTACCTCTTCAACCTGCACAATGCATGTGTTCATAACTTCACATACACTTATTGAAATGAAACCACTATCAATTTGAACACAATTGATGACAAAGAACAAAACAGAACTATCAACTATTTTGAAAATTTTCAACTTTCTGATCTAGAGTATCTTTTAATTCTTACACTTTATCCATACTATTCATACCTTATTATTTCACTCTTAAACACAGAATGAAAATCTAATGTTACAAACATCTAAAGATAAAAGTAAAATAGGAAGAGAGAAAAAGGTACTATTTACCACAGTGTACTTCAGTTAAGATCTGCACCTGTAGTTCCTTAAGATTCACACATTGTTTAAGATTCAGTTTGACTTAAAAAGGTAAAGTTTACCATTGATAGTAAGAAAGCAAGTACACTTTGCAATCCTAAATTGAAAACTCAAAAATTGCAAATAAGCAAAACCATATTAAGAAGAACAAGGGCATTTTCAGAACAAAAACACGGTGTAATAAAAAATCAGAACTAAAACTTAACCTTATGAGGGTTTTTCCCACCACTTTTGCGTCTCCGTTTTCGTCAAACTATCCATCTTTTCTCTTCGCTTTTCTTTCACACTCTCCTGCTCTGTGGCTCATTTGACCACATAGAAAACATTTGTCTTCCTGGCCAGGAGGGAATATAACTTGAAAAGGTGAATGAAATTTAAATCAGTCCATCAAGCAAAAGAGAAAACCTAGCAAAATATGATTATAGAAAATAACGTGAAGCATTTAGAATGTCTATCACTTTGCTGTACAACCCAACCCCAAAAGGGAATACCTGAAGTTGCAAGCATAGATACATATCCAAAAATATGAAAATATGCTCTTGAGAAACTTCATGAGTTGTAGAGTAGCTGCCTGGTGAATTGTTATATATTGACATATTTACATTTTAATGAAAGATAGGTTCCAAACCTGGGAAAAAAGATCTAGAAGAAGATAGGAATTGAAACATAGGAATCCCCTCTCCCTGGAAATACAAATTAAAGGATTTAATGGACACTAAGTGAAACATAGAAGAGTCCATCTCAAGAGCATAGTTAGTAAATGCATTATCGCAGACATATCCCGATCAGAATTTGTGATATACCTTGTGATTTCAATTGGAGGAGACTGCCAATAGAATCTGTGATATACCTTGCAGTTCTGATGGAGGTTAACTAGTCATAGAGATTTCAATACTCCAAGTATGAAAAGTATCATCAAATTAACCTTAGAAGAAGAAAGTGGTAGTAATATAAAAGGTACTTTTAGTCTCAAATATTGCAAATGATTATAAATAAAGTTGGAAACTAATCATTGACATCTTACAAAATACTATGAATACAAACACAAAAGTAAACTAAACTAACAATCTTTTTTCCCATGTAATTTATCTCAATAAATACACTTAATTTATCTTTGCTTTCAAGTAATTTATCTCAACACTAACTTCAAGAACAACAAAATTGAAAAGCTACAACTACAGGATATCACATAACTCGAAAAGCATTAATTGAGTAGTGTATGTTATTTTACAATCAATTTGGGATTTTATATTAACACCTCAAAATATTACTCACTAACTGTAATTATGCCAGGTATGAAAAGTAATAAATATATTTAAGAACTCATGAAAATTAGACAGAGCACCTCTTAGGATTTTTCACAAACACTTTGAAGGCATCACTCTAGAATTTTTTTCATCATGAGGATTGATATCCACCATTTTCACAATGTCATAAACTTCTGATGAAAACCATACACCTTCATGAATTACCTGCCACAAATAAAACACATATATATATATAATGTGAGTGAATCATAAATCATATCAGAAGTGGAACCAAGTCTGCACTAACCTTTTAGCAGAACCCTGTGCCTAACAAGCACGCTCCTTATTTAGCTTCCAGACCCCTCCCCATTCATCCTTCGTTGTAGTTGTTATCTATGCCCGGGGGAAGTGCACAAACAGTGGGGTAAGCGAGATTATTAAGCCTTCATGTGCATATGAGCAATAAATACCCTATACAAAAAGTTTAATTTTGACCAAGAAGTAATATACCAACCAGACAATACAAATATCTTAAAGTTAAACATGGAATTAAAGATTAAGTTATTAGATATTGCTATGTGAATAGCAATTACTAGTGGGACTTACAACAATGATGGTTGAGATGATATTCTACTAAGTAAATGTTGAGTAATGTGTAACTTGAGAAAGACCAGTTTAATATATAGATAAAAGAATAATGGACCTTTGGGGGTCTACCTGCAAAATAGATCAGAGTACATCTAATATTCAAACATTTCCAACCAATGTTAGGTTTAAACATTAGCCTTCATCATCATCATGCCATATAGTAGCTCGGCTACCTGTATTCCCATGGCTCCTCAAGCCTTTAATAGCTCAGCCTATCATAAGTTCACTTTCCATAACCAACACATTAAGTCAATTGGTTAAAAGTTATACACAAATTTCTTATAAATAAATTAATTAGATTTTAAAATATCCTACTATTGCAGTTAAAAAGCTAAGAATTAAACTTAAATGAGGTAATCAAGAATCAAATGAGGACACCTGCTCTAGCGAAATAGGGGACAATCATATAGTGTTTAAACGAATACTTCGATTCGTAAAATTTCATTTTGGACAGTCATATATATACTCCGTATTATACTTTCTCAAATTTTAGTATAATTTATCTCTGTTCATAATATTAACTAACGAGAACAAAAAATAGTACATAATTATGTTTATACCTGCAGGGAGATGATGTCTTGAAGAGCTTGATAGAAGATTAGCTTGGTGGCTTAGCAGGTGTTAGTCGCAGTTGGCTTAGCTTCGCAGGTGGCTTAGCTTCGCAGGGGGCTTAGCTTGGTGTTCGTCACACACAATCGATTCGTAGAAGATGGATTAGCACACATAGGTTGGTGTTCGTGCCCGATCGAGAGCCGTGATGTTCATCCCTGTCCAGACGAGGAGATCCGCACCGTGATGTTCTTCCCAAGCCAGACGATCGAGAGCCGTCCCTGTTGTTCGCAGCTTTCAACAGTAACACGAGTCTATTTAGCAGAGAATCAACATCGCTCTGTTAGGGTTCTTGCTAATCGAAGGATAGAGGGAAAGTGGTCGCTAGCTCTATCTAGGGTTCTTCGTGATCGATGGCTTTCAAGGAATAGAGTGAAGGCCAAGAGAGGTTATTTTGACCAAGTTTATTTTGACCAAGTAATAATTTGGGCTAATTGAGTAATATGAAAAAAACGAGTGGATGGAAAAGCCAAGGAGAGGTTACTAAAAATAGATGGCAGGAATATATTTTGTGGAGGGAAATCAAAAGTAGATATTTTATAAAGGTTAAATTCAACACTTTTTTAATATAGTGTCAATATTATGTATAGATGGTTTAGTGTCACATAACTATGACACATATATGTTATTAGTACTATATGTCGTTTATCAGTGACACTACAGACAAAAGTGTCACTGAAGAAGTGTCACTGTAAGACAGTTTTCTACTAGTGACAGTGATGACATCATCATTTAGGAGTCAATCCACACTCTATTAATAACACCCACTTATGACTTGCCCACTTTTAACACCCTTCTTTATCCTCCACTACACACACTTAGGAGTTCGAAAGTTCCATTTTTGACTTTTTGGACTCCTAAAACCCCTCCAATACAAATGGCCTAAGAGTTGAACAAAAAAAAACATTTTCTCAAATTGAAGTACCTACCATTGTTTTTCAAAATAGGGCTCATGTTGTCATACACTCCTATTTAGTTTTTTTCTTTTTTCTTTTAATAGGATTACATAAATTTCATATATGAGAAAAAAAAACACATTTCGTAGGGGTTGAGTAAGGAGGTTGTTGGATAATTGATACCCATACTGTATAAACAGGAGAGATTGAACAAAGAATATGGAGAAGGAGATATATGTTTATTGTGAATGAATATTAGTTATGTTTACAAGCCTCCTATAAGGAGTATATATAGGGAAAATCCGGGTCTAGGCCTCTAATATGGGCCTGACAGACCCGATTACATAAATGGACTGATAGTGTAAAAAGCTAATTTAGAACATCTGAATAATAATAATGTACAATAATAAGAATCCGCTAAACGTGTGTGGGCCGCTGTCCAAGCCCAATAGTCAGCAGACTGGGGGGTCGCAGTCCATATACTCCAACAGGAGTCCCCCACTCTCTGAGTCGAGAGTACTCGAGGCAAAAGAGAGTAGTCCACAATTGTATCTGCAACGTTCTTCTGTCTTTGGTTTCTTCCTCTCCGGCCGGGGGACCACCACCCTTGTCCATGATGGGGAAGTACCTCGTTAAAAACCTTTACTAGGAAAAAACTCAGTGGGAAAAAATCCTAATAAAGGGAAAAAGAGTACACCTAACGCCCCCAACATGAAACAAGGAAGGTAGGCCCCCTCCGGCATAATCGCTTTTGTCTAGCTCAACCCGTCTTCATCTGACTCATCTCTCGTTCCTGCTCATGTGTGATATTTTCTCCTCATCTAGGAACTCTGACTCCTAAGTCCCCCAGTCCCTACTCTTTGAGGCGAGTGGAGATGAGGTGAAAATGAGTAAAGTCACCTTTGTACCTACACATTTAACATACATGTGATCACTTGCCCCGCCATTTTACTGTCACTAAATTTTGTGTCACTTGCCCCGCCATTTTTTTATAAAAAAATTTATAAATTTTTTTCTCTTGGGATTTATGTTTCCGATCGGGAGTTCGTTACTTGAAACAAGTAGAAATGTGAATTGTTAATGTAATGATAAAATACGTAGTAGAATGGTTGTGTGAGCCATTCGTAAGCAACTGTCTCCATTCGAGGAATGTCTAAGACCGGTCTTCGTGCCCGACTTGGTCGGGGCTTTGTCTTCGTGCCCGACTTGGTCGGGACTTTGTGCCTGATCTTGGTCAGGGCTTTAAATCCTAGTGATGGGTCCCAAACCACACTCTACTAGGCATTTGATCATAAGTGCGTGATAGTGTGATATTCACCCGACAAAAAATGATTTAAATAAATATAAATAATATAAAAATTAAAGAGTACTTATCTTTTTGAAGTGGGCTGGATATATTGGACTAATTGGAAAGAATAATATTCAGCTGATTCCTTTGGGCTCATTCGAATTTGTGAAAAACTAACAACATGTAGTTGATTAGTGCTACCTGGCCCATATTCATTTCCAGCAGCGTTTAGGTATGGAAGAAAAGTCTTCCGCTGGCCTCGATGATATCCAAATTCCAAAGTGCTGGAGGAGACTCACTTTGCCCTTGTTGCTGCTGGAAATGGAGAATAGAGAGATGATGCTGGAAAAAGGTGGAGAAGCTGCTGGAGAGGGTATGACCTTTTGCCCGCTTCCGCTCGACTCACAGCTTGGCTGGAGGGGTCGATTCGCTAGAGGGGACTTCGTCCATCGTCGCTACCTGCCGGAGAAACTCACTGAAGATCCAACCGTCAAGCGGACAGCCCCTCCAGTCCTCCTGTCGTTGTTTTACGGTCTGAAGAAAGAGGGACCTGCTGCTGATAGTCCCTCATCCGGCTTGACGGAAGGGAAGATGAAGAAAACAGTCATAGCTTCTAAAACATGGGTTTCAAAAACTTCGAACCGCCATTAATGGAGAGGTTGAGGATCAAGCGGCTGCTAGCATGGTAAATGGGCGAGCGGCACCCAACTAGATCGAGGAGTTAGCTGCTAGGGGACTAACGGCTGCCGCGGCCACACTACTGGTTGCCTGGCTGCCTCAAGCATGCTTGCTTCCTCAGATCTGTTGGGCTCAGACGAGATTCTTCCATTTCACCGTGACTACTGAGGCTGGCCGGTTCTGCTGGAGTCTGGATGTCGCCGAGAATGCTCCAGATCTGGAAATTTCCAGATTTCATTTTTTGTAGGATTCAGAACAATTTTTTTGGTGATTCTTTGTGATTTGGGTAGAGTTTTTGGTTAAGCGGGGAGAGTTTCTTACTTGATTGTGTTCAAACTCTCAACGATAGCACCATTGTTGGATAATTGATACTCATACTGTATAAACAGAAGAGATTGAACAAAGAATATGGAGAAGGAGATATATGTTTATTGTGAATGAATATTGGTTATATTTACAAGCCTCCTATAAGGAGTATATATAGGGAAAATCTGGGTCTAGGCCTCTAATATGGGCCTGACAGACCCGGTTACATAAATGGACTGATAGTGTAAAAAGTTAATCTAGAACATCTGAATAATAATAAGAGTAATTCTAAATACAGCCCCTAATTTACTAAACAAAGCCCTGAATTAAAATGAATTAATTAATTATATCCCCATTCCTGTTATCCCAACATAATTGCGTCTTTGAAAGCTCCGTTGTAACTTCTTACCGAACAAATTTACAATACATCAGATTCCTAAGATTAATAAGGGGGTGTTTGGAACTGATTCTGCTTCTGCTTCTTTTTTAAAAGCAGAAGCAGAATCAGAATCAGTTTTCAGAAGCTGGTACCCCCCAGCTTCTAAAAAAACTGATTCTGAGAGTAAATTAGAGCTCCAGAAGTGCTTCTGGAATTTCACCCAAACACTCCAGCTTCTGCTTCTGCTCCCTGAAGGAGCAGAATCACTTTTTAGAATCAGATCCAAACACCCCCTAAGACAAGGACAATTCTAAATTCAATTTGAGGTTTGACGAAGATAAAGGCAGCACTTGAGGTTTGGAAGCCAACAACGTTCAGAAGTGGCTTGCAAGGGAATTGGTTTGGTGTTTGGGATTATAGTGGCAAAAGGTTGAGACTTTTTCGACTGAGTGTGGTTGTAAACTTCTTCTTTGGCCGGAATAAGCAGGTAAACATATGGTGGAGCCGCCGACGGATGGAGAAGAACGGTGTAGCACCACCATCTTCGAAATACCTATGGCCGAGAGTGTCCGGCTGTCCGCTTTCTCCTCCTCCTCCTGCTCTCCTTTCACAGATCGGATCAAGTTTTAGTATATAGTACTCCGTAATACTACGTACTTTATCACAGTCGATCATCACTTGTGAAAGCGCAATGTAGTAATTATCATCTTTATCACTATGTTAATTAGTAAATTGCGTGCTAGCTAGAAGTTGATCTTGTATGTCATCCGAGAAGAAAGATAGGGATTCATATGTGGTGGATCACTGGAGATGGACATGATGTTCTTGACATTATAAACGAGAATGGCAGAGTGGACCGAGGATAGAATAGGCACTTAATATATTTTTAATATTTAAATTTTTAAGAGAGGCTGTGAATAGCAATATTAAGGCTGTGTTTAGAATTACCCTAATAATAATGTACAATAATAAGAATCCGCTAAACGTGTGTGGGCCGCTGTCCAAGAACAATAGTCGGCAGACCGGGAGGTCGCAGTCCATATACTCCATCAGAGGGCATGGGCATCAAGCTAGAGTTGTATGACATAATCAATAATGAATGAAGCATAAGCTCTTTTGATCAAAAGAATATATTCCAGACCATTTAAGGAGCGATTGCACATACTGTTCTCATCCTAGATACGCCCCTTCAATGCACGGTAGCTAGCATACTTAAGCACTTCTTGGGGACAGTGCAGTGGTGGTTGGATGGTTGCACTATGGGAGGCATTAAATGAAGAGGGAAAACCAACCAATCATAATAGTATCTCTCTGAACAGGGGCAGAGGCGCAGAGCTAGAGGGGGGAACCTAAGCCCTAAGTCACCTTAAATTTAAAAAATGTCTTAATTTTTAATGTAAAAAATTATGTGTAAATATTTTTCCAAAAATATTCTTTGTACCGGTTCACTCCATCCCAATGCCTTGACTTCGCTCTTGTCTGTGAAATACTTTCACCTCTTATAAAACATGATCAAGATGAATTTACATTTGAAATAAGAAATTAAAATAGTCATTTTGATGTACATTTGAAATAAGATTAATTTACATTTGAAATAAGAAAATGCTATATACTCTGTATCTAAGAATATAATTTTGATGTCAAATTTTGGTTCGATGACATCACTGTGATACTCTTAGAGCCCGTTTGGTAATATCCAAAAGGGTTGCATTGGCTGATTCTGTTGAAATTTATAAGTTCTGACTGAAGTGGTTGGATTGACTGATTCTGCTGGTTTATCAAAAAAAATATACTCCTTCTGTCCTTTAAAACTTTGTTATCTTTCCTTTTTGGGACGTCCCAAAAAACTTTGTCACTTTCCCTTTTAGTCAATATTATGTGGTTCATGTTATTTCTCTCTCCTCTGCACAAACCTCAACCACACAGTTTTTACTTTATTATTCTCCGTGCCGGTCAAATTTGGCAAAATTTTAAGGGACGGAGGTAGTATATGTTATTAATTAAAAAAAAATATAATATATATGAAAAAAGTAACTAACATGATCCTTTATGTTGTATCTTCGGCCAAAACAGTCAAAAAAGTAACTGCAACTTTACTTTTTCTTATTATTGCACAATCCAACGCGTGAAATCAAAAGTTACATGTTTAGTAAAAAAGTTAGTTGATAAACCTGATAAGCCGAAAATGAGAGTCACCAAACGGACTCTTAATAAGCTTCTTTAATAAAGTTACAAGGTCACAGGGTTGAAAGTTGAAACTTATCCCATTTTAAAAAAGTTAGTGTTTAACATAGAGCAATTGTATTATAATAGAAGTGTGAACATATTTATATATATATATATATATATATATATATATATATATATATATATACATATATATATTTCATCTTAATTTACCACTTTGTATTTTCTATTTGTGCCTAAAAAGATTTAATATGTATTTAAAATATACCAAATGAATGATAATGTACCCTCCTTAATATAACAGAAATTGTCCTAAATAGAACTAATGAGTTCCTAAAAAGCACCAATATGACTACTACAGTTTAAATTCCCTAAACAAGACTAAACATTGATTTTCTATCCTAAATACCCCTAAGTGTATTAATAATGAAATGCTTTAATTCATAATAAAATCATAAAAAATAATAAAATTGTAAAAAAAAATTCAAAAAATAAAATAAAATATTTATAAAATAAAATTTTCAAAAAAAATTAAGAAAAAAAAATTAAAAATAGTAAAAACCCATAAAAATATTAAACAAATATGGACACCTTTCCCACAGCCTTCCAGCACCACCACCTCCGATTGGTGATATTTCTGTCACCTTTTGTAAAGAATGTCATCTTTTTCTGAAAAATGACAAGAAAATGGTATAATTAGTCTTCAATATGCCAACATTTTCATTGAATATGCCATCATTATGGAATTATTTAAATTATTGGCAGATTTTTCTCCGGTGATGGGAGCTGGTGGTATTGGGGGTGACAGAGGTGGCGGTGTTTTTTTACCCTTTTTTTTAAAAAAATATTTTATAAATATTTTTTTATGATTTTTATTATTTTGTATGATTGTATTATTAATTAAAACATTTCAAAAGCCACAAGGGTATATTTGTCCAAACATACATAAATAGTCTAATTGGGGAAATTTAAAAAATGAAGTCTTATTTGTGCAATTTTGCCATGTTTTCTAGTGAATTGACTCTTAATATAAGGTGAGGATTATTTTTTTCTAGTAAGTGACCATATAAGTATATAACCCTATTTTTACTCAGAATTTAATTCTAAAAATACCACATTTGTCCCTCTAATATCGGGACGGAATGAAGTTGTGTGGTTTTTAAGAAAAGTAAAATTATGTGGTTGATATAGTGAGAATAAAGTAAAAATGAATTAAAATCACACAAATACGATCAAATATGGAATGGGCAATAATAGTGGGACGTCCAAATATGAAAAAATGAGACAATTATAGAGCGACGGAGGGAGTGTCATATAAATCCCAAACAAAAAATTCAAATTTTCCTTTTTAAGTAAGGATGTTTTTACGTGGACTGTTTTCAGTCCCAGACCCGCCCAGAGCAGATCAGACTTGGACAGTTATAAAATACACAGAGATCATGCATTTTTCAGACAAGACCAGAACAATTCAAACCAAACAAGACCAGATTAGACCAGACCAGACCAGAAAATTTGAGTCACTTAAATGTTTTGAATAGACCAAAAGGCATGGATGGATTGCAATTCCCAAAAAAATGATCTTTGTACACGATAGTTTGTACACGCCGGCCAAATTGTATGTGCACAACTATTAAATTGTTTGTACAGGAAGCGGGACTGAAAAAAAACAGCTTATTAAAACGAAACACATTAAAAAGTGGGAAAAGGATAAGTGTCTAGGAATTGCAACTAGCATCCAATGATAGGTTCAATTCACTCCACTTTTCTCATATGCAGGTTCACTGTTTTACCATTTTTTTGCTCTAACCCTGCAGGATCATGAGGTGTTTTATGATCACTACGGATGTGTTTTATCTCAAAATTTAGTGCTTAAAGTATTAATTTCTTGTTAACCCATGATTACTTTTTCTTGAATGATACTTGTATCTGGGTTTTAGTGCAGGCAGCTTAAATAAGTATAATTCTGACCCACAACTGCCATGACGAGTTCTTCCGACTGCCAATTTGCTCATCAAAGATTGGTTTCTTTGTATAAATCAACTTGTTTTTTCTCTGCATGAAATCAACACTCCCAAAGTTTTAAGGTCTTTGTTAGACTAATAATTGATTAAATTCCATCTTTTTATTTTGACCCAGTTGAACTGTCGTGGAAGAATTACATATTAAGAAGTTGCTGCAAATATGAGTGGATATGCACAAACAGAACTATCCTTGTTTTATCTTAAAAATAAGACTCGTTCAATCTGCAAAAAGAATAAAAGTAGTTTTATAATCCTTTTTGGGGGTGTATGACTTTACTTTCAAGAAAAAAAATAATGATGATCCTATTAAAGATATGTGTTATGTTTTAATTTAGTCCTATTTATAGAATCTTTCAACATTTGGTTCAAGTAATTGCATTTTGTAGAGCAAATGGCGGGTGAACCAGTTAATGCGAATGAATTTCAAGAGCTTGCTAGGAAAGCCCTTCCGAAGATGTACTATGACTTCTATGCTGGAGGAGCTGATGATCAACACACACTAAAAGATAACATTGAAGCTTTTCATAGAATTATGTGAGCTTTTCTGCCTCTTTTACCTAGTTTGTACTGCTTCTATTACTTTATCCAAACAAGTTATGTCTTTGCTTTCAGTATTCGACCTAGAATTCTCATTGATGTGGGAAGAATCGATACGTCGGCTACAATTCTGGGTCACAAGACTTCTGCCCCCATTATGATTGGCCCAACGGGAATGCATAAACTTGCCCATCCTGAGGGTATACTTTTACCATTTAGAGAGAGAAAATTGCACGTTGCTGTGATTTTAGAATACAATGAATTTTTTTTCAGGTGAAGTTGCAACAGCTAGAGCTGCAGGTGCATGTAATATCATAATGGTACTTATGCACGCTTTTTGGGCATATATCCGTTACATATGAATCATAAATCCCCTTCATGTATTGGGTGTTAGAGTCCTACATAGGAAAATGAGTTGAATAAGCTTATACGTTGGGGTTAGGCCCGAGTGTCTTATTGCCAAGCAACCCTGGCCCAATCTTGAATTCTATCATGGTATCAAAGCAGGTTTGGCTGCTTTTGTCTAGTTGTCCCCACTTGAGTGAAAAATTAATATTCCAATCTGTTAGAGTGGTTTGGCTCAAGTGTTCCGTAGCCTAGTTAAACGTCCACAATCCACTTATGAATTTTATCACAAAGCAATCCTACTAATATTGAGAGCTCTTCTTTGATGGTGATAGGGAATGTCATTCTCATCAACCTGCACCATAGATGAAGTTGCCTCTAGCTGTGACGCTGTTCGCTTCTTTCAAGTCTATGTATGTTCTTCAGAACTCATACTTCTCTCAGATTTATAATGAACACATGGGTACCCGCCGTATTTTGAATTTGTTAATTAAAAGGTATTCAAAAAGAGGTATGTGACTGAATTAATGGTACAAAGAGCTGAGAGGAATGGGTTCAAGGCACTAATTGTTACTGTTGATACACCAAGGCTGGGTAGAAGGGAAGCAGACATTAAAAACAAGTAATCTTTACTTGGTCACTCACAGATAAGAAATTAAACTTTTGTTCTTCTTGACCTTAAATATGAATTAGGCACCTGTTATTTAAATTGCAGATTTGTACCACCTCAGTTAAAGAATTTTGAAGGCCTTATCTCAACCTCAGTTGTCCCGGTAATGTTCATTAACCTTATTCTCGCTTTCTTCTTCTTTTTGCTTCTAAAGATACAAACTAATATACTCCGTATAAAACAGTAAATTTTACTATGAATTTGATCATATGTTATTTCTAGGAGAGTGGTTCAGGACTTGAGGCTTATGCATCATCAACTCTTGACAGTTCCTTAAATTGGAAGGTAAAAATTGACACTATACACTTGATTACCCAAGTGTTATTAATCATCTCACAATAATAAAATATAAGTATGCCTTGGATAACTTTTTAGTTCTACCTCAGTCTTAAACTCAAACTAACAATTTGAGAACAAGGAAAATTTCTGATTTGACTTATAATAAGTGGGTGTTAAAAAATTACTCGTAATACTCAAGGGAAAAAAGACAGCTTTCAGCTTTTAGGCATTTTCTTTAAAAACATTCTGGGATGTTTTGATGCTCATGTTGGGGTTTGAATAAATTATTAAGCTGTCGCATTGATATTGAAGTTTCTTTTTTAATTGTTTCATCCCCCCCCCCCCCCCCAATGCAGGATATTGCTTGGTTAAAGTCAATTTCAACGTTACCAATCCTGCTCAAGGGGATACTGACTCATGAGGATGGTCAGCTCATAATTCTCCTTTCACTAAGAAGAAACTTTTTTTAATTCATTTTTAGTAGAAGTTGCCATAAAAGAAGAATATATACACACTCCATATGTTCACTTTTACTCACTCCAATTTCTGCTTTTGGTTTTTCCTACTTTTTCATCTCTAAAAGATATAGATACCTTTAAATATTCAGCTTCTCTCCTGCTTTTTCACTCCTCTTACACAATTCACTACCATACAACTTTACTCGTAATTCCCGTGAAAACCATGTTGGGGCAAGTAATAGTACAATGGGAACAAGAATTGTTTTCAAGAATATAACGAACAATCCTATGTTACTTTAAAAACTTGCAGTCCTAAAGATTCGTTAGAGAAAGACATCTATTGAAATTGTACTATCGAGTGTCAAGAGTTTGTAAGACTAGAACCAAAGAGCTTATACAAGGCTCAAAACCATATGCTACTATGTTATAGTTCATTCAAAGATTAAGGAGATATAGATGGATGTGTAAGCACTCTTAGATCAGATTAGCTAGTTCTTGTGAATTGACTAATTTACATTATGACCTAATTAAGTGATCTGGACCATATTATGTACTACGTATGAAGTATGTCAGAACTCATCCGTCAATAACATTTGTAGGGGAATGAAAGCAAGATGGAAGAAGAGTTTATACTAACTACTTGAAGTCTCTAAATATCTTTTTACACATGAAACATGATCTATTTGGTGCAGCAAAAAAAGCACTGGAAGTGGGAGTTGCAGGCATTATTGTGTCTAACCATGGAGCTCGCCAGCTCGATTATTCTCCACCTAGTATATCTGTTCTTGAAGAGGCAAGTGGTCGCTATAATAAATTCACAAGTTTTATAAGGTTTTGGCGCAATGGCATTGCTAGGACTGAAACAAATTAAATCTAAAGATACGGATTGGTCGAGAAATAATTTATTAATATGAGTTTTACGGTAAAAAAAATATGAATGATTTTTTAATACAAAACTTGGGGTTGACTCCCTTTTCTACGCCCATGGGCGCAAGCAAGGGGCCAACTCGGGTCCGCGCACACCCCTATTTTGGTAAGAAGTTTTGTTCTAATGTGTAAAAATTGATAAAAAGTTATATGAGCATTTTTTCATGTCCTGTCCCAATTATCTCTCCTGGCTATGCCACTTTCTACGCCCATATTTGAACAGAAATGCAATGCAGGTAGTTGTTGCGGTGGAGGGAAAGATTCCGGTATTGTTTGATGGAGGGGTGAGGCGAGGGACAGATATATTTAAGGCCTTAGCTCTTGGTGCACAAGCAGTTTTGGTATAAAATAATTGCTCTTTAATCACTTCTCTGAGTGTTTTTGCAAAACCCATATTTCATTGATTTCTATTTTATTCTCCTGGTGGAAGTTCTTGCTTGATTACATACAAATATGGGTGTGGTACAGATTGGGAGGCCGATAATCTTCGGGTTGGCTGTAAAAGGAGAAAAGGGGGTGAAACGCGTGTTAGAGATGCTGAAGGATGAACTTGAGCTGACCATGGCCCTTTCTGGCTGTTGCACTCTTAAAGACATCACCAGAGCACATGTCAAGACTGAGAGTGAGAGCCTTGTTTGCCGGCTCTAGTAATTTCTTCCTAAAATGAAAAAGCACACTTTTCTCAAGATATCTTGGTTTCTTCTTCTTTTAACAAAAGAATTCTATATGTTTGTACATTTCTAAATAAATCATCTCCAGAGATTTGATTGGTAAAAAATACGTAGTATGTACTTTACAAAATAAATGAGAAAAATATGGGACGGATAGATCAACAATTCTTGTTGTACGCATTTTATTGTTTTACAGGCAGAACTTGACCAAAATCTGTACGGGCAGAACCGCAGAACTAACCTATGGTTATATACACTTATACTAGCTAGACCTGCCAGCCTATGGTGGATCCAGTAGCGGAATTAGACCGTGAAAGACTAGTTTTTTGCATGAAAATCGGATCATTTTCCGGTACCTATATCCGGTCAAAACTGGTTTCATTTCTGATTGCATGTGCAGATGTGCTACAATTGAACCTATAATTTGACCGGCCTATCTAGTATCTATCCTTGATAACGTACTGACTATTAGAAAGTATGATTCCTCACTATCTGAGATTGGACCATCCCACCAGTAACTCCAACGTTGACCCATAGCATTAGATATATGGGGTGTTATGGTCTTCCAAAAAAGGAGCTCTCAAGTTCGAGTCTCATCCCAATGAAATATAGTATAATAGGTTTAGAAAGTGAGCAAAAAAATATAATCATAATCTGAAAAATGATTCTTGTTTTTAGAGTTTAGGATTGCTTATGGCTGTATGGAAGAGACAAATCAGTTATGAGTTATGACTTATATGAGTTCAAATAAATGCTCCTTATATTGATTCTTCTACAAAATGGCACATGGAAATTATATTATGGTAAAAGAATTTATAAATAAATTTGTGCTCAAATTAATTTATAGATATCATTGTGTGTGCAGGTTACTTTGTGAATAAATATCACTACTCCTTTTCGATCAGAACAGCCAAAAAACTCTTCAAAGTTCAAACACTTGGAATTTACACATTTACACCATTGCACCCTAAAGGCCCTAACTGGATATTAAGTTGCTCTTTTCTCAAATGTTTGTCATCAAACGACTATTGATTTCACACTAAATTGTGTAATAATAGGTCACTTCAACTAGAACTTCGTCACTTTCAATAAATTCAACCAATTAACCAATTTAATAGTTTCCAAATGGACTATAAATCAATCACAAATTCACAACACGTTCAATTAAACTTTAACCCGCACTTTGTGGCTAAAAATAAGATGAACACCCTATAAAGAATGAATAACATTTTGACATTAGCGCCAAATCATTCGACGGACCAGAATCGGGTCTAGCACTATTTGGGCACTAACCGGGTCCATTTTTCAGTTTTGGGCCTAGGTTGTCCTTGTCCACCTAAGAGAGGTACCATGTCCCAATTCACAAATTTGGGGACCAAAGTGATCCCGATTTCAATTTTGACCAACGAAAATTACATATGTCCTCTGATTTGGAAGTTAGAACCGGCCAAAATTACAAAAATAGTCCCTCCGTCCCACTATTAAAGTCTCAACTTGACTTTACAATCTCCTAAACAAACGTTTGACCGTAATTATCTATCTATAAATATATACCTATATAATCTATAATAATAAATTGACATTTAAATAATACATATGAGTATATGACAATGAAACACAATGAATAATTTTTTTGAGATAAAGTATTGTTAATATTGAGTAATTAACAGTCAAAATTTAACAAATTTGACTCAAAAGTCAAACTAGGACTTTAATCAAGGAACAAAAGGTGGTATATATAACTGGACCGGGTCCAGAACCAAACCGACATAGTACACGAAACCAAGCCTATACCCGGAAATAAGCGGGTCAGGACCAGGCAGTCTCGTCCCAAAACCAAGACTGGATTGACCTAGGTTCATGCCCAGGGCCAAGTAGAAATTTAAGCTAAATGAAGAAGGGGTAGGGAGCTATCTCGTCCAAGATACTTTGGCTATCAGACACTACCCGTTTGACATTTGTAGTACTACCTCCATCTTACTAACATTGAGACATGAGAAATGGTACCAAAGAAAAATATGAGGCAATCTTAGTGGGACAAAGAGAATATTACTTACTGGTACTCCATTTTCGGCACTAATAAATAAATTGTACAAGTCGTAATGTTATCATCATGATGTTATTTGCAATTTTGAATTAACAAAAAACTATTAAGTTAGTTAATGTAAATTTCCAACAATCAAAGTTTTTAGAACAAATATTTTTACTTTTAACCCCAAACAGAGAAATTTGAGTTCCTAAAACTCTATTTAAATAAAATGAGAAAAAACGGAGACAGTAAGCTTGATATTACTACTATTACACTAGTCCATTCCTAATGCTAAGTGTGATCCAATGTTCACCATAGTAGATTCCTGAAGCTCCATCTTGTAAATTTCATACTCCCTTTCAAATAATAAGAATTCCTGTAACATGGCAAATTTATGTTCAGTAGACACAAATACAAATCCAAGTAGAAAAGGTTTAGAGAATATCAAACACCATAATCCAAAATATACCCATCAGCCCAACATGTTAGTATAACGTTCTGGCCGTTCCCACAATCTTAACAACACAGAACTTAGACGCATTATAGTCATCTACAATTCCAAGAATTAAACAATCCAAGGATAATTTCCCCTTTCACGATGAGGGTGTTAGGTTCCGGTTGTATAGTATTACATTGTAATGTAACAAAGGCAATGTCATAAGACCTCATTTATTTGAGTTATAAGATTTCTGAGAAATATAATGTGAGAATACTTTATTTGCTTCAAAATAATTCAAGTCTTATGAGTACTTGCGTAATCTCAAATCATTGCACAGAAAAATCAGGTGACATTAAGGGTGATTTGATTACTCAGGGTATGTCGGACCTAAACCCTGCTGAGTTGTTTACTTATTCTGTCTAATTCAAAAGAATGAGTCACTTCGGAAAGTACTCGGCAGTTTAACGAGTCATTCGAGGATTAGTAGTAAAATGTGAAAGATTGAAAACAAAAATGGGTCATTATAAGGTCAAGAAGAATTTAGGAATTTCCTTTTAATAAAAACAATTTTCCAAGGTTTTGATGGTTTGTGAAATTACATTTTTCACTCGAGATGTGTTTGTGGACATGGAAAAAGATGAAAATAATGTTGACATTAATCTAACTATAATAACTTTAGCATATAATAAGTTATGGTTGAATACATGGTTAATCTTCTTTAAATGCCTTGTAAATCAAGCTTGTTATTGTGGCTTTTCTTTACATGTTAAGACTTCCAAAGTTACAACTCACATTATTAGAAATTTGTAGCACACGTTTTTTAAATTGTACTAATATAGAGTCAGGTGATAAGTGGTAACCGACCACTCCTGAGATATCACCTTATCAGACCTCATCACTACTTGCCCTTTGACTGAGTGGGTTACCGAGAGTCCGAGACTACTTAAGTTGTATTTGCTTTTGAACAAATTAGTGCTACATTTTTAGTTTCCCAGCCAAATACATCAGATAATCATCCTGTAATCTGACATTAACTAGTTATATCTTACATTCACGAAATCTCACATTATCATCTCTATTACTGCATCGAGGTACACAAAGATCGACTATTTTTTATTTTCACCTAATCAGAGTGTTGCAATTCATGGAGTATTAATGTATTATTCCCTAGGGAATCCAAATTCTACACCAGAACAACTCCGGATTGGCCAGTTATCATAAGGAACATGACAGTGTGTTTCTTACCTGCAACTGATGCTGACTAAACAGATGAAGATATCCGGTTTCCAAATTAGTAACTAGGTCTATCAACCCATCGTGGTTTTTAGGTGGCTTGCCAGACTCCATAAGCGAGGCTGAAACCTACAAAAGAAATATTGTTTCAAAATAAAACTGGTTAAAGATCATTCAGCACAACTACCTTAGAAGGTGATTGGATTGCAACAGGCTGGATTCAGTTTACCTGCATACACCTGAGAATTACTTCGGGAATGCAACACCGGCGACAGAGACCTCTTACTATGTATGTAGCCGGGCTTTCAATAGCGCCATCACTTCTGGAATACCATGCATCCAGTCTAGATATTTCCATTGTTACTCCTGCTTGAAAACGAAGCATCTCTCCTGCTTTGAAGAAACCAAACAATTACACAAGAATTCATATAGTTTTAAACTCATTTGGCGAGCTATAGTTTTGGCTTATCAACCATTTCTCCACTGAACTAACCATTGCTAACGTGTTGGCTGAATCACTGAGAATAGTAGCGTCCGTGTTCCTTAATGTAATGACCTAAATTGACACTTTTTACTTTATTTTTAGACATTATTCTCCTTAAAATGTTTAAATATAATTTGGCAGAATCAGCCATTTCAGCAAAAACATCAGAAATCCCAAGTCACAAAAGACTTGACAATTTTAAGTTTTACAAAATGATCTCTATAACTACAAACTTAACCATGACTGATAAGAACTGGGCAACATTGACATTCTTCCACTTCGTCTTTTCTATGAATTTATTGCTTTGAAGGAAATTAAACGTTAATGGCTGCTACGACTTGAATGAATGATATGGTATATTGCACTTCCCAAACCTTCCAAAAAACTCTTCGAAAAATGACTTTATTTAGTACCTTTGAAGCCAGCTGCAAGTACTGTAGCAAGAATACCACCATCATGTAGCTCAGGATAACCAAGCCCATCGCCCTCTACCGCCAAACATCGTAGCACAACTTCAATGCAGAATTTGTCCTTGGGTGATATGGAGACATTAATCTGCACACAAAAAAGAGTGTATTTTGGCTTTTGTCGTTGAATCAACACTTCACTACAGCACAAAGCATATTGAACATCCATTCATGCACACACCATAGGATGTACTCCTGTCATCCTAAAAACTCATGTTTGAATAAAGTACGACCTATTTTTAGTAGGCTTATCACAAGTTATGAATGACCATACAAAGCTATTACAAGTTATGAACGACCACTCATAGCCCCTCTAATGCTTATAGGCTTATCTCAAAGATTGTATAGAGTAACTGACTAGAACTGTTTAGTGCTCGACTCTACATGATTGTTGCTCAATAACTAAAATTGCTTTTTCAAATTTGACTTTTTTGGACTAACAAATATCCCTTCTTTGGACTAATTAATATCTTGAAACTGAACTATTCTTTTAGGATGGGGGGAATAGTTTCTTAAACTGTAATAACATGTAATGTAATGTGATCAAATATATTTTTTGTGTATATAAATTACAAATGCATTTGGTTATAGTAAATTACATTACGTCTTTTGATT